CGCCAGCCTCCCTGCCCACCAGCCTCTGCGCCCTCCAGCAGTCTGCCATGAAATAATGCTGCCACTGCTTCACCTGCATTCCACCTTTTGCCTCTCACAGCATCTGCCCACTTCCCATCCCCGTCTTTCCTGGCTCCTCCATGGCCCAAGGCATGGCCTCCTCCACTCCTCCCTGCTCCTCTCTCGGAGCTTCTGAGCTGGGGTGTCTCCAGGCCTCTACTCTGCCCTCTCATCTGCTCTTGTTCTGCTTTCTGGGCGATCTAAACCACATCTATGGGTTCAACTGTAGTCTTTGCCCTTGTAACTCCCGAAATCTAAACCTCCTGGATTTGCTGGTGGGCGCCAGATCCTTATTTCTAATTTCCTACAACACAATTCCTCCTGGAAAGGCAGCGTCAGCATCCCTGACCACTCCCTTACCTGCCAAAGGTCTGCTTTTCAGTGGCCAGCGCCTGGTGGCTAAGGTCCCGCTCCTTTCCCCAGGCCGTGGTCATCTGGGCACCTCAACGGCATCACTCACACCCTTCCTCTGAGCCCGTCTCGTGTTCTCATCACAGCTTATTTTAAGCCCCCGTCATTTCTCACACAGACTTCTGTGTGGGCATCCTATCTGGCTCAAGGCCCTCCCCAGTCAGCCTCCCCCCTACTGCCACTGTCCTACGTCACTGTGCCCTTTTCTAAAATCACTGGGTTAAAATCCCAGCTTATTATGACATTTGATGACCTTTGCGTGTGACGCCTGCCTGCTGTTCCTGTCTTGGCACCCTCCAGGTGACCACATATGCTCCAGACACATGGGCAGACGTGCCTCCATGCTCCCTTGCCCACGTGCTCCTTCTACCAGAAACGCCCTTTTCTCCTATTTGCCCGGTTCACTCGGATGCACTTTTCGAGACCCCAGCTCAATGCCACTTGCCCCGGAAGCCCTTCCTAACTCCACCTGTCTTCCTCCTCAGTCATGCCTGAAACCACTGTGGCCAAGCGGCCCTCCACACAGCCAGGGGCTCTGCCTGTTTCCTTGGTCTCACTCTGTTGTGGGGCCACTGCCAAGGGGGCACCCTGGCTTCAGCCCAGGATGGGAGCTGCCATGCTCACCTGACTGCGCCTCCCCAGGGCTCAGCATGCACACGTGGGCTCGGCGTGTGCCTGGGAGGTGAAGGGATAGATTCGCAGGGGAAAGCTGTTCGCTCGCCCTAGGCCCTGCTCACTCGCTACCTTTTCCTAAGTGCTTCTATATCTGAGGTTTACTGTTGAGGGGATGCCTGCTAGATGGGAAAAGTCACTGGCCTCCCTTAACCAGTATGCCCAGGGGCCTCTGCTAATAAATCATTCATTCAAAGTAAAAACCAAAGTCCCAAGAACAGCCTTCTGGGTCCTGCCAGATTGCCTGATCCCACTCCCGTGATCGCTTTGGCCACACTCTGGGCTTACTGTGTTCCTGCTCCAACCACAAGGGCCTCCTCTCTAATTCCTGAATCTCGGGGCCTGATCCTGCTCCAAGGCTTCCGCAAGTCCCACAATGTTCAGATGCTCCTCCTGAAATAGCTGTGCTTTTCAGCCCATGCCCACCGTCTCGGGGACACCCTCTTAGCTGCCTGGAACTGCACACGGGCTGCATTCTGCTTCCCCTCTGGGCCTTCTCTCCCCAGGGCTTGTCATCTGGCACACTGCATGTTTTAATTGTCCCTCCTCCCTCTGAGAATGTTCCTGTGGGTAGGGATTGTTTTATTTCCTGCCAAACCCCCAGCACCTAGTTCCTGGTACAACCGGTGCTCACTGATTCATCTCCCACACTAGGTCATGGTTTTCAAGTTCTTAAAAAGTAACACAAACAACAACAATAAAATGGACAATTCAATTTAACACTTTGACCAGCCACACTAGAAAGAAATTTTTTTTTCCTTAGGGCCCAAGTAGCTCCCAAAGTACTCAAGGTAAAAAGATGTGTGAGTTATATGTGCTTCACAAGGCCCCTGGCTCAAAACTAGTTAATATGTTAAAAATGGGCAAAAGACTCGAATAGACATTTCTCTAAAGAAATGTCGGAAGGGCCAGGAAGGAAATGAAAAGATATTCAGCATCATTCATCGCCAGGAAATGCAAACCACAACTATGATAAAATAGTAAGCATAAAAAAAAGTAAGAACAAAAGACCCAACAGAACAGCAAATGTTAGTGAGAGTGTGGAGGCCTGGAACCCTCCTGCATCGTGGCAGGCATGTAAAATGGCTTAGCCTCTATGAAAACCAGCGTAGCAGTTCCTCAAAATAGTAAAGAACTTATCACATGACCCAGCAGTTCCCAAAAGCCTGGGGCGAAGGAGCTGGAGGAGATATTGTATACCTCTGTTCATAACAGCGTCCTTCTCAGCAGCCAGAGGGAAGCCATATCCAGTGTCCACTAACAGGGGAGTGGGAGATAAAACAGGGCCTGTGCTGGATGGTGGGGCATCACTCCAGCTTCAGAAGGAAGGGAATTCTGACACAGGACAACACGTGTCCACTTGAGGACATTACGCTACGTGAAATAAGCTGACACACACAGACAAGGACTGCACAATTCCACTCACACCAAATATCTAAGGGGTCAGTTCACAGAGACAGGACAGGCGGGCGGTGGCCCAGGGCTGCGAAGTTAGTGTTCAGAGAAGACAGAATTGCAGTTTGAGAATCTGCCAAGTTCTGTAGACGGACAGCGATGGCTGCTCCAGTATATGGAGATACTTAATGCTAAAGAACTACATACCTAAAAATGGTGAATCTTATGGTATGTGTGTCTCACCACATTAAAAAAAAAAAAGCAGGCTGGGCGCAGTGGCTCATGCCTGTAATCTCTGTACTCTGGGAGCCTGATGCAGGTGGATCCCTTGAGCTCAGGAGTTTGAGACCAGCCTGAGCAAGAGTGAGACCCCATCTTTACCAAAACTGGGAAAATTATCTGGGCGTCATGGTGGGTGCCTATAGTCCCAACTACTCGGGAGGCTGAGACAGGGGTCTGAGGTGGTTGTGGGCTGTGGTGATGCCATGGCGCTCCAGCCTAGGAGACAGAGCCAGTCCACGTCTCTAGAAAAAAAAGAAGGAAAGAAAGAAAAGAAAAGAGAGAAAAAGCAGCATAGCTCTTTCCCCAGCTCAGTAGGAAGCCTAACATGGCAGGCAGACAGAAGTGAAGGTGCTGGCTGGGGCAGGAAGCAGGGCCCCGGGTGTGCGTGACTGCTCAGCTGGGCTGCTGCCTCCCACTGCACGGACCCCACAGAGACTGGGAACCGCCCCAGAGGAGAGTCACTGCCCCAGAGGAGGGTCACCACCCCAGCCTTATGCACTGTGATCACTGTTTTTAAGGACAGGAAGCTAAAGACTTAGCCCTGGCCTCCTTTATAGAAGGAACTTAGCAAAAAGGAAAAAGGCCATCACCAACTGGTCTCGGGCCAAATGTCAGGTGGGGGAGGGGGGAGTCAGGGGAAAGAGCAAGGTTAGTCACTGGCACCTACATTCAATTAGCATTAATGCCTCACATTCTCCAAACTCCTCAAAATAACTCAACCTTCAAAATAATTGTTGAGTAGGTATAAAAGAAACGATAGAATCTCCAGTTCACAAAGGAATGAACATACAAAATTCGCTGGGCACAGCCACAGAGCCTGATAGAAGTGAGGCTGAGCCCCAGGTCATAACCACGACCATTTATTAAGGATTTATTTATTAAGACATGGTGCAGCATTTCCCATGGACTGCTGGATTTCCAGCCATCCTCCTTCTACCATTTGGTAGTCACTGTGTTGTTGTTTTTTTATAGAATGCAACACTAAGTCTCAAAGAACAACCAACTTTTTGAAAATTAAAAAGGCATTAAGTGGTAGGCTGTGCAAAGCCACCAGGATGCCGCAGCCCTGTCCACTCACCCACCACCACTCCCTACGGCCCGTCTGAGGCCTCAAACCCAGCTCCCTGGGAAAGGCCTCCCGATGCCCCCACTTCAGCCTTGAAAACATGTATAATGAGGAGACCTCCCGGGACACTGTGTATTCTAACTCCAAACCGAACTAGTACTAACAAAATCAAAAGGTAATTATTATGCCCTAAGCAGAGATGCAGTCAGACACTATTTCTTAGACTAAGAAGAAATTTCTAGATCTTTTAAAATCCTATAAAAATTTTTACATAAAAACATCCTTAAGATTATTGGCATGACTAGTCACATTTGGTCATCCTGTTCAATGTCTCTGCAGGACAAAACAGCCCCCGGGGGGAAAGAGTGACAGTTATTTCCCATCTTTCCCCAGGGCTTCTTCAGAATGTTCTGAGGACATGTCTATCTTATTCTCCGAATCTGGAGAGAGGAGAAATATTTTGTGGCTTGCCAACAGGCTTTCAGTCTACAAGGTCACCCCACGGGCTGCAGTACGGGAGCCAACAGGAACAAAGATGCCTTTGGGGGAGCGTCAGGCCCAGGCTCGGGGAGAAGGGGCAGCCTTGTGCCAGGGCTCTGAGCCTACAACGAGAGCTATTTCCACCCCTCACCAGGGGCTCCTGGGCTGTTTCCTCACAAAGACCTAAAAGTGGATCCTTTGAAACCCACAAAGTTTATATCAACCCTTCCAACAAACCATGGTGTGGGCATGTCATTTAGGTGTTAAAAGCACAAACACCAGCTCTTCATACATGGGCCACCTTCAGCGTGGAATGTGCGACTCCCGAGGAACAGCCCCCCACCCTGCTGACACCAGGGATACCCCTTTCACCTCCATCCCAGATCTGGAATAAACTCCAACATCCCAGCGTGGGGCTAGCAGGGGGTGTGCAGAAGAATTGTTTGGGGCACACATTAAAAATAGAAATGGAAGAAGATGAGCAAAAAGAAAGGTCTGTGCACAATTTTTGGGATATTCGACACCATAGATAAGCACAATGCCTGCATGTGGCCCCCAGGCTGCAGGTTGGACACCCCTGCCGAGCGCAGGCGGCTCTTCTCACTTGGAAGCCAGCAGTAGAGGAGGGTCTTACCGCATTCTCCCTCAGTTGCAGCCCCTCCCCGTTAGGGAGGGAGGAGCGTCTCTTGGACGAGTTCCTGTTAGGGGTGGAGGCGACGGCCCCTGCTTTCTTCCTCACCGTGAGCACCTCGCAGCTGGCCTGGTCTTCGTTGTGTGTGCTCTTCCCAGCGTTGATGACCCTGGGGAGGAAGCCAGAGAAGTAGGTCAGGCAGGGCGACTTCCAGAAAGCTGAGGGCTGCGTCCCCGCCCCAGCAGACACTACAGCTGGTGCGAAACTAAAGCCTCTCTTAGCACAAAGGACCTCACAGTCTTGGTATTTTATGTTCCCGAGTAAATGGATTTTTAAAAATGGAACTGTATTGCACCCATTAAAATATTTATGAAAGCTATTGTTTTGAGCCCAGTTCACCTTCAGCAGCCTGGAAGATGCAATAAACAGCTCAGACTCAGCTTAGTCTGAACACACCAGGCGATGCTCAGGTAGGGCAACCTGCAGCCTGAACTTTTTGGCAATTACAATGAAGACGGATAGGCTGGCTCGGGGAGTTCTCTTTCATGTCTCTAAGGAGCGAATAGCCAAGCCACCATCAGTCTTAGGGAAGCACAGGGCAGTAATTTACAGCCCATGGTGAAATCCAGGGGAATGAGATTCATACCTTACCACCGCCATGCTCGTTTTTACTTTACACCCAGGGAAGAGACTGGATCAGAGGGTTACTCTTTTAAAAGTACTTTTAGTTCTTTATCTTTTCTCCTGTAGAATAGCCCTTGCACCCTGGTCTGACACCAAGACCCCTAATAATGATATTGGCATTGACATGACTCGACGTCACTGTGGTCTAATTATTAAACGTTTTAAGCACAGGAATGCTCAGGAAAACGCTAGCTCACCCGCGTACTTTCTCTGGGTCAGGTGACTGCAGACTCAACTGGGTTCCAGCACCATTTTCTTATTATGTCACTGAGCAGCAGCTGAGATAGATTTACTCAAGGAGACCTCACCTCGATTTGCCACTGGCTGTGTTTCCTTTCTAAAGCTCCCGTGGTGTCACACTAGCTAACAGAGCAGGGAATTTATAGAACTCAGTGGCCAGGAAAGCCACTCTACGTGTGGTGTGCTCACTGCTGTATAATCTGATTCCCACCCTCCTAACAGTCAAGTAAAAGAGCATCATTGTCAAATGACTGGAGGAAAAACCTTTTTTATTCTATGATAATTCTAGATTCAGAGTAAGGTACTGAGCCCCTTGTAGCCTTCGCTAACTTTCTCCAAAGGTAGCGTTTTCTACAGAACAGTATAATATCGAGGACTTGATAGAGATATGATAATATCACCCAGGCTACACACCTTATTCAGAGTTCACCAGTTTTTACACTGAGCTTCCTAAGGAGGTATATGCCACAGGTATATGCCACAACCAAACAGGAGATGGAAGGCTGGTTGAGATTTGGGGGTTCCAGATCTAAGGAAGGTGTTTCAAGCGATATCCTGCCAGACTCTGTGAAGGTATTTCAGACCTTTTAACATTTTCTCTTATCTTGTTTTTTAAATGTATATGCATTCTTTCCAAAAATGCAGTGATTTAAAATCTCATCAACATGTATTCACATGAACAAATGTGAATGTGAATGTGTGCTAGCCTATGTGTTTAGGTTATTAAGTACGAAATGTCAGATTTCCCTAAGTACTAATTTTGATAGCTGATATCTCTGACATTTTGCTTGGACACTTCTTAGTTTATTTTTCCTCCAAAGGTACATCCTCATTCTTTCAAATGCGTGGTTTGGCTTGTGATTGTCTTTCAAATTATTTTTAGAGCAATTTTTGCAAAACCCTGGATAAGTTAAAAACGAGTGTTATTTTTGAATCTAAGTTCTTCATGGACCCAGTGCAGCGCAGACAGCTCCAAATATCAACGGAGCGTTAGAGGGTAATGAGTACACAGCACGTCGATGGTTTGAGAAGTTCCATTCTGAGGATCTTAGTCTTGAAAATGAGCCAGGTGGGTGACCTGAGACCACGCTGGATGGATAATGATGGGCTGGAGGGGGTAGTGGAATCAAATCCATCTCAACCTACATACGAGTTACAAAGTGACGAAGTTTGAGGTTACTATCCCAACAATATCGGACCATTTGAAACAAACTGTCAAGGTAAAGAAGCAGGATAGATTTCCGCTCGAATTAAATGAGCAGCAGCAGAGACAGCGTGTTGGAGTTTGCCTTTCTTTGCTGTCACGACATAAAGGTGAACGATTTCTACACTGTACTGTTACGTGTGATGAAAAATGGTTTCTTTTTTATAATCCGAGCATTTGGCACAATGGTCGGATAAAGATGAAATGTTGAAACACAGTTCAGACCCGGAGATACATTTTAAAAACCTAATGGTGTCCGCTTGGCGGTCCAGTGCTGCTGTTCCCCACCACAGCTCTGTCAGTCCTGGTCAGTCGATTACAGCACATGTCCACCCCAGCCAACTGGGCGACACGGGGAGGATGCTGTGATTAACCAGACGAGACTGGTCACTAGAGACAGGACAGTTCTCTTGCAAGACAACGCTTGACCTCGTGTCAGACAAACACTCTGCTCAAACTATGGAAGGTGGACGAGGAACTGCACGGTCATCCACTGTGCCCACCAACCTTGCTCCACGTGACCCCCACTTTTCAGGGGTCGGACCACTTCTTACAAGGAGAAATAGTCAATTCTCAGCAAGCTGTGGGAAGCGCCTTTGGCGATTTCATCAGCACTGGCTCTCCAGGCTTCTCTGCAGCTGGCACCAACAAGCCAGGGTTAAGATGGCAAAACCGGATCAACAGTTGAGTCATGATCTTTGATTAGTTGTGCTGCATCTTTTTTGTGATACATGAAACTAAACTTTCAATTCAAAATCAGACATTTCCTATTTAGTGGCCTAAACTCTGGGCGTCTCTGGCACAGAGAGCCTCACTGCCTGTGGCCTTTAGGTGACCGGTGTCATCGGCAATCGTCGGCAGTGCCACTTGCAATTACTATCTGTGTGTTCTAAGGAAAGTGTCATATTAGTCAGCATCTCCCTGATTTCAAATTCCTGGGCTCATTAAAATATATTCATTTTTCTTATTTTTTTAAATAAATTTCAGTAGATATGTTTTTATATTCAAAATCCTACTTGTACTCATTTTATATATTAACAGTTTGGGTAAGTTTTAGGTTTTGTTTGTTTGTTTAGAGACAGAGTCTCACTTTGTCACCCTCGGTAGAGTGCTGTGGCGTCACAGCTCACAGCAACCTCCAGCTCTTGGGCTTAGGCTATTCTCTTGCCTCAGCCTCCTGAATAGCTAGGACTATAGGAGCCCCCCCATAACGCCCAGCTATTTTTTTGTAGCAGTTTGGCCGGGGCCGGGTTTGAACCCGCCACCCTTGGTATATGGGGCTGGTGCCCTACACACTGAACCACAGGCGCTGCCCTAGGTTTTAAGTAGATTGCTGCTTATAAGTCTGGAAATCATTGCTCCACACTTTGTGTAAGGAGGTGGGGCTGCTGCTGATCCGTGAGGTCACACGGGCTCTGGTGCTTGTCACACACTTTCCTGACTGAGGGCTGAGAAGAGGGAAGCTTCAAGGCCTACATCCTCTTTCCTTTAAGGAAAGGCATTTCACATGGCTTGGGAATAGAATGTAATTCTTGTTTTTCTTGAGACAAAATCTCACTTGTCACCCTCGGTAGAATGCAGTGATGGCATCATAGCTCACAGCAACCTCAAACTCCTGGGCTCAAGAGATTCTCTTGCCTCAGCATCCCAAGTAGCAGGACTACAGGTGCCCACCACAATGCCCAGCTAAGTTTTAGAGATAGGAATCTTAGTCTCGCTCAGGCTGGTATCGAACTCCTGAGCTCAGGAGATCCACCTGCCTTGGCCTCCCAGAGTCCTGGGATTACAGGTATGAGCCACCACGTCTGACAGAATGTAATTCTTGAGGACACAATGAGGTTACCTGTGTGACGATGGTTAACAACTGCCACACTTACTGCCTGAGCTAAGGAACATGCCCCAAGGTCCACGGCCAGGAAGGACCCGGGGGGATTTAGAATGAGGCTGCCTGGACCCCCACCCAACGTCTTTCTATTGGACTATGGGGACAGTCTGGATTCTGTGGGAAGCACCCAGAACAGGCAGAGAGGGCAGGGCTGGTCCAGGACTCAGGAGAGCGGGGATTCTCTCCCTGCTTCTCTGGCTATTGAGGGGCCTATGAGAGGGGCCAGGGAGGGGTAAGAATGGGGGGCTCAGATCTAACTATCCCCAGAAATGCACACATGTGACTCAGGCCAAGTCACTAGTTCACAGAACATGCATTTGTCCAGAGCCGCCTTTACGTCTGTCCCTAGGGAACCAGACCAGGTGGGGAGGGAGGTCCAAAAGACCATCTGCTCTGCTCAGTCTCTGGCAGTGATCTCCCAGCAACACATGTGCAGAGGACTGCTCACAGAAGATGCTACCAGGCCTGCGCGGTCTCCCACATGAGTGCCCCCCACCCCTGGAATGCTGAGGTGGAGGTTCAGCTGGGAAAACCAGCTCATAGCAACCTCTCTGCACTGCCCCCGACCGGGTCCTGGCTGCCCTTCCAGAACTTGGCATAAGCCAACATCAGTACCTACTCTTGTGCCGTAGTCGGGGCTTTTTTGTTTCTTCTTTTAGGGGGTGAGGGGTGATTGTTTTGTTTTTTGAATTAAAAGGCATCACTGATCTCCAATAGCTGCGTGCCAGGCTGACTCAGCTGTCACTGCTGTTTCCAGCAGTCAACAAAGCTACTGTGATTGCATGAATCACAAGTCCCTGCCCTGTGGAGTGCTCTGTCTCCTGTCGCTCTGAGTGATTATTAAGCTCCTCTAACTTCAGCAAGAGGTCTCAGGAACCTTATTCATGCACAAGAAACCCAGCGTCCTGGGCGACAAGGTCACACAGCTGCATGCGGTGGAGCCAGGAGCACGTCTGAGTTGGAGCCGTCTGGTTTCCTTGCCCTGTGCCTATTCTTATCGGCACTTGGTTCCGAGGTCTGCCCTGCCCTCAGAGCCAGAGAACTGTGCAAGAATGATTCCTGGTGACCCGACTTCGCCGCATCACCTGTCACGTTGAACACAGTTGTGAATGACACCAGAGGAGTGTGAATGGGTCAGAAGAGGCAGCAGTCCTCT